TCATTTACACTGCCTAAAATGGTCAAAGAAAATAAGCTTAACCCTTTTTATTTCAATACACCTTTACCATAATGGCCGCCATCTAATTAACATAAATTTTTAAAATCATAGAATTTTAGTCAAAGTAAACTAACGGCTGACAGGAACCTGTGCTAATAACAACATATAAAAGTTTGAAATGAAAATATTAAATTCTGGTTAAGTTATAAGGATTTAAAATATATCATAACACCAGAACGAGGCTATAAAGGCCTTGGCTGAAAATTACATACATTTCTTGCATTTTCATTTGGCCATAACTTTGTTCGCATTTTATCCAGGGCTGTCAAAAGTTCCCAAAAATGTTTATTTCTGGTAGTTCATTCACATGACAGTGACAAAAAAAAAAACAAATAGACAGACAGCCATTTGTGGAAAATTACATACATTTCTTTGTATTTTCATTTCACCATAACGTTTTTCCTATTTTGTCCAGAGATCTAAAACGTTCCAAAAACGTTTATTTCTGAAAGCTCTTTTGATGTTACAGTGACAAAATATTCATATCTATTTTATTTTGGAAAAACACAATATTGCAGCCATTATGGTAACGGTGTATATAGCTATTTTAAAAAAGGTTGTCGGATGAAATGGCGAATGTCAATTGTCGAACGGCGATTGCACGACTGAAAGTAGCCATGGGTATTGCTAGTTGAAAGGCGATAATAACTGATTTGTACTTTCAAATGGTCTGTGGTAAACATTAGCTCCATTTAGTCTCCATTACTATGTAAGGTGAATCCAATAGGTGAAATTTTGTTTATCAAAACAGTGTAACCATAGTCCCTTTCGGTCGTGCAATCTCCCTTCGACAATCGCCATTTGCCGTTTTCCTCGACAACGTTTTTTGAAATAGCTGTAACATACGTTTAATGTTGATTAGATGTTTATATGCTTTGAAAATTATTGGGTTAATACAACTGACAAAATATGTGTTTACGCTGATAATTGTGACTAGAGTAAGTCACTACTACGCACCTGAAAGTGATTTGCCCAGACTTATTATTATCTCTTTGTAAAGCTCATACCTTGCTTGGTTATCAAGCCGAATTTCATTGCAAACAAAATACTTGCACATAGAAAAAATAATCTTTTTTTCAAGGTACTAATTTGCATGTACAACTACATATGTAAACACTTCGAGTTCTAGAAAATTTTCTTTTTAATTAAATGCTCTGAAAATCAACGAAATAAATGAGAAAGAGTTACTTAGAAAGCCACAATTTAAATTTTGGAAATGACTATTTTACATTTCACACAAGCTCGGTAGAAAGTTTGGCTATTTCGAGTGCTATTTTTAGCCATCAAACATTTGTCACGCAAAGGCCCAGTATGTGACATTGTTTAAGCGTGGATTTCACTAGCGCATAAGCATAGGCATAAGCACGAAGCACGAGCATAAGCATAAGCATGAGCACAAGAAAAACGAGCAAGGCTTGATCTTCTTGTGCTTATCTCATGCTTATCTCATGCTTATGCGCAGTGAGAACGGGACTGCATAGGCATTTAAGCATAGCTAAATCTTATGCTTACGGCGAGCCCGTTCTCACTGACGCATATGATTCTCATGCTGGTGCTTATGCTATGCTTATGCGCTAGTGAAATCCACGCTTTAGCGATTTTCTTGCGAAAAATGAAATATTTTCAAAAACCAATCACACAGCGATTGTTACCTAATCATACCTTATCAATATACAAAATATGAATAGATTTGATTTTTCGAGCCTTGCCAAGATATGTCTGATTTTTGCGCGAAGTGGCTCTTAAATAATTGGCATTGTGTTTATGCTTTGTTGAATTCTTAGTTAGTTGATAACTAAAATTTAGCAATACATATTAAGAATTGTTCCATGCTTATGTGACGTGCACTCTATTTAAGTTTATTCTGAGGCCATGATCGCAACTAACGACTCGGAAATATTGACTGTACTAACTCTTATAATCGCGTNAGACAGACAAACATATTGAAGGTCGATTCGACATTTTGGTTTATATTGTGTGGTGTATTTTTTTTACTCTAAACGTCATATTATATCAGTAGAGTAGAAATATTTGAATATTGAAAACTTTGAATCTTCAGGCTGGAGTTTTCAGCTGAAATGTCCAGCAATCTATTGATTGCCTCAGGAAGAAACATTACTTACTATTACTTAAATACATCCGATCATAAACAGTTATGTTTACCCAAATTTTACTTTGATAAGGCAGTCGTCACTGTCTAATACACTAATATTCGATATAACATTAATCCAGTACTCTTAGCCGTTTACTTTCTTTGTAAGTCCTAGTAGTTCTTGAAAAATATCTAGAAACATTAGCAATGTCTAACCTGCTAACTGGAGTAAAATGAAGCCGACAAGAAGAGCACACAATCCTCGTTCCATCTTGTTCAACGAATAGTGTTTACTGGCTGCTGCTACTTCAGTCAAAGTCTACTGCTGACCTATGTTCATGTATTCAAAAATGTTGTTCAGCAATCCGTAACACACATTGTAACTGTAGTGAAACTGAGATCAACTATTTTGTTAATTTTGTTAAAAAAAATATTAGTCCAATGAAACCGTTCTATAACTATGTACACAAATTTGCAGCGGTTCTTTTGGTCATATGGTTGTAGCCCAAACACATAACGTAATGTTTAGTAAACAAATGCATTGACTTCCGCATGGTAACGTTATCTTACCGAGAAGTCACGCTTTATCAATATTCGAACAATTCGAAACTCTTTAAATGAAAACATCAGCTCACAGTTGTAGTGTGATCGTTTTCGAATCAATCGTAAGTGTCAATAACTATTTCAACGTGAATTTTTCGCTTTTTTGTGGTTTTAGTGCTGTACTCGAAAAAAAGAAAGAAAGAAAGAAAATGAAATGAAACGATAAAGAAAAAAAGAAAGAAAAAACTAATTTGCATAATTAGTATTTTTTCGTATTCCCCCAGAAACTTTGAGGTGATGTCAGCAAACCACTGACATTGGACTTGAAGACGCTGGGCTCGAAATTGGTCTTGATGAGGATGATCTAGTATATCAGAGGGTGTTTTTCTTCTTTCTCCCGGAATTGCCTCCTTCTAAGCACTATAACTTCCTTCCATTTCTATATCTGGATTACAATTAACATAATCAGACTTATCATATGACCCGTATTTCGGCCCTACGCGCGCTCTCACTGAAACCTTTGGAAAATGGTCACGTGATGGGGTCCGTACGCCTTTTCGCGACAGGTCCGTACAAACCCGTATTTTCCCGGCTTGAAGTTCCGCGCGCTTTTTTTTTATTTTTTTACATTAAAAAACGCTGTCATATGATAAAATGCTTATTGACTGAGTTAGGTCGGGCCGTACGGGAAAATATTTGGCTCTCGGTCATTTGTACGGCATAACCTCGAGCCAAATATTTTCCCGYACGGCCCTCCCACTCAGTCAATAAGTACATAATGCTAATATCTTATTAACCGAGCGCGAGGCCGTACGGGAAGTTATGGACCGAGTTTTTTCCCACTGACTTATGGCCAGAGCGCGAAGCGCGAGGGCCATAAAAAGTGGAAAAAACGAGGTTCCATAACTTCCCGTACGACTCGAGCAAGCGAGATTAATAAGATATTTATTATATAGCATTTTCAGGGAAAAATAGTAAAATTAATAGAGAATCGGACATAAAAATAGGTCGTTTTTGTTTGTACTTCAGTCTTGTCATCCAAAATAGAAGGAAAAAAGAAAAGCCTGAGAAACCTTGATGGCAAAATTTGGATTGATTTTCGACTCTTTTTTATACAGTACAAGTACAAAAAGAGAGAAAGCGAGTCTTTTTAAGATAAAAAACGTTTTTTCTCGTTTCATCTGGTCCGTACGGGAAAGTATGGACCGCTTTTTAGCCAATGAAATCGTGTGTTACATCCGAGCTATATAATAAATATACATACGTACATATTTTATTCGGAGATTTGCAAAAAAAGGTACACATGAGCGTAACAGCGTGTATGTTTTGGCTAGTACGCACATGTCAGGGACCGCACCACATATTTTGGGTCTGGGGGTCTAATGACCGCCAAAGGCGGAAGTATTAAGGGAGTCTGGACGTCCCCGGAGAATTTTGAAATAATAACTCTTGGAAATGCGATTTCTAGCGTTTTAAGAGACGTCGAAAGCATATAAAAAGGATCGATTTTATGTAATTTTCAGTATTTTTCCTTGTAATTTTTCCTTTTTCCAGTAATTTCCTTGTCACCAGTATGCACGTGCGTATATGCGTAAAGGAGGCTACGAGCCTGGTACATCACCTTAATTCCAAACAAGATAAGAAAACTAATAGATAAATACGACATACTTGTGTCGGAGTAGTAAAAAGCAATGTAAATATAACCTGCATTATCATACTCCTAACGTACGGCATAACCTCGAGCCAAATATTTTCTGGTACGGCCCTCCCACTCAGTCAATATATAAGTAAATTTTATCCCATACACATCTGATGCTCGATATATCGTACGCCAAATCCCTCACTAATATTGTAACGGCGTCACGCGTCACACGGGGGACTGGACCCGAAAGAAGATAGCACGCACGCATTCCGCGCATTTAGCGCCCTCACGAGTTAATTAGCGTACTTTTTCACAATAATGTGACCTGTGATGCGTCACAAAAAATGTATGCCATGCGCATCGAAATATATCGTGCATGGTATATCTGGTGCTCGATATATCGTACGCCAAATCCCTCACTAATATTGTAACGGCGTCACGCGTCACACGGGGGACTGGACCCGAAAGAAGATAGCACGCACGCATTCCGCGCATTTAGCGCCCTCACGAGTTAATTAGCGTACTTTTTCACAATAATGTAGCGTCCGTCCTCACAAGTTCAAAATGTCGAAGCGCCGTCGAAAGCAAGCCATCTCAGTCGAAGATTTAAAAGAAGAGGCATATAAGGAAGTTGATAGAGATACTCTCAACGAATCGAAGTCATCGTCCGTTCTGTTTGATCTCAAAGCTATTGATCTGAGTAACGTCAGAAAAATCGATCCTGAGATCGTTCTTTCGAGTGCCATTGCAAAGTTTTCGTTCGCTGTTTTAAACTCTGCATACTCTGTCTTTCCTTCGCTCTCTGTATTACCGGATGATCTTCGTCAAGATGTTATGTCAGTCGTCTTTCCTATAATGTCCCCCGATCAACTAGACGTATTGTATAACTGTGGGAACTAGCGGTAAACTAGTGTGAGCTGCGTCGGTGTTTCTAAAGAAACAGTTA